CAGTACCTTTGTCGTGGTCCTGGTTATATATGTCATTCTCAGAGTTCCCTGTACCTTTGTCGTGGTCCTTTCACCTTTGATATGCCTGATATAATGACTAAACAGCACTGACTCGATATTTTTCAAAACATTATTGAGCTTGAAAACATAGCTTGGTTACTTAATTGTTTAATACTGTTTGCATTACGACTTGCACTGTTCACATCATTTGTATCATTCGTTATCGATGACAGATCTTTAATGCATTATCACTGTATGAGAATTGTTTTAATTGATTTCAAAGGTATTTGTCATATTCTCCCATCAATGTACACGTTTCAATTTGAGTATTGTACACTATCTTTAATTTGCGTGTACAAATGTTTCCTAAAATATTCCCTGCTGAATAAATCTTAACAGGTTTTCTTCATGTGTCTTGCAAATTTGTTGTGAAATGGCTCTACAAGTATGTCCTAGTAAGTAAGTCAAAACAAAGTGAGACAAAGAGACAAGAACGCGAACCTACGCCACACTAAAAGTAAAGAATGTTAACAAATAGGTGGAACCAAAACTAAGAGATCTCGAAAGATAAACGTTTCCTGTCAAAATACGGCACCTATCATGAAGTCTCCTATACAATCCCGGGGAGTGTGTAAGTCACCAAAGATCTTAGACTCAGTGGTCATATCTTTGTCTTTTGAACGACTAACGACTTTCAAATGCTCTCAACTTAGATCGGAGATTATTCTGTAAAAAAAACTTGCTGCGTGGTTTATTGGTCAACATGAAACATCAACAAATGTAACAATCAACTCAATCAGAACCGGCTCTGAAGAAGCAAACAAATGAAACACTCAACTCAATTAGAACCGGCTCTGAAGTAGCAAACAAATGTAACACTCAACTCAATTAGAACAGACTCTGAAGTATCAAACAAATGTAACACTTAATTCAATTAGACCCGGCTCTGAAGAAGCAAACAAATGAAACACTCAACTCAATTAGCACCGGCTCTGAAGAAGCAAACAAATGTAACACTGAACTCAATTAGAACAGGCTCTTTAGTAGCAAACAAATGTAACACTCAACTCAATTAGAACAGACTCTGAAGTATCAAACAAATGTAACACTTAATTCAATTAGACCCGGCTCTGAAGAAGCAAACAAATGTAACGCTTAACTCAATTAGACCCGGCTTTGAATTAGCAAACAAGTGTAACACTTAACTCAATTAGAACAGGATCTAAAGTAGCAAACAAATAAAACACTGAACTCAATTAGAACAGGCTCTTAAGTAGCAAACAAATGTAACACTCAACTCAATTAGAACAGACTCTGAAGTATCAAACAAATGTAACACTTAATTCAATTAGAACCGGCTCTGAAGAAGAAAACAAATGTAACGCTCAACTAAGAACAATATCTGAGGCAGCAAACAAAGGAAACACTCAACTCAATTAGAAAAGACTCTAAAGTAACAAACAAATCTAACGCTTAACTCAATTAGAACGGGCTCTGAATTAGCAAACAAATGTAACACTCAACTCAATTATAACCGGCTCTGAAAAAGCAAACAAATGTAACACTCAACTTAATTAGAACCGGCCCTGAGGTATCAAACAAATGTAACGCTTAACTCAATAAGAACTGGCTCTTAAGTAGCAAACAAAGGTTGCACGCAACTCAATTATAACCGGCTCTGAAGAGGCAAACAAATATAACGCTTAACTAAGAACAAGC